TGGAACAACATCCTCATAACAAATACTGAGTTAGTATAGGAGTCTGGGATCTATTTGCTGTGACAAAGTTGACACTGTTTCTCATTGCCCTGTGGCAATCATTGCCTGCACACCTGAGTCCCTGAGGCGGCAAGCAAGTCCACTCGGCAAGGCTGCCGCACACCAGAGGATGTGGCCTTTAGTTTCTGCAAAAAACCTTGCCATTTCAGGTTTCGTCCAAATTATAAATGTACCACAGATCTACCTTTTTGTGTATGTGTGCACATGGATTTTAAGGAGCCTTCTGGAATTTCACATACCTACGCCAGGATATAGTATTTTGCATCTAATGAAACCTTAGTTTAAAATGCTGATTCATATCAATCAGAAATATACACATAAGCCTCGTTCCTGACAGTCGCCTATTTCTATAGAAATTTCCAGTGGAGGGTTCTGGATATGCTCTACCTTAGTACTCTTTTCTGAGTATTAGTCTGTATGTTTGTTAGAAGGAGTGTCCTGAGGGCGGAGCCCATGTCTTACCCACCCTGTATCTTTGCACACTAAACACACTGAACACTTAGCAGATTATGTGGAACTATAGGGGCTAAAAGAATGTGTCCTAAAATAAGAAACAAGCAGAACAATAGAACTATTAGCACATCCTCTGGTGATAGTTTATTGTCAAAAATAATTATATTAGTAGATAACTTCATCAGTTACAACTACCATTACTTTAAAACACTGACTTAATTTGCTTCTGGTGCCTTTCCTTTTAAAACTTTGCAGTAATAGCGAGGAGAACTTGCCCCTGGCGATGTGGAGACCTACAGTACAGTTACAGGTCTGCCTCTATATCTGTGTCTTTAGACAAGAAACGTTCAACAAACAAAAAAATACAGGGTTTAGTTCTTTTTTTTTTTTTTTTTTTTTTAATATATTTTATTGATTTTGTACAGAGAGGAAGGGAGAGAGATAGAGTTAGAAACATCGATGAGAGAGAGTCATCGATGAGAGAGAGTCATCGATCAGCTGCCTCTTGCACACCCCCTACTGGGGATGTGCCCGCAATCAAGGTACATGCCCTTGACCGGAATCGAACCCGGGACCCCTCAGTCCCCAAGCTGACGCTCTATCCATTGAGCCAAACCGGTCTCGGCCAGGGTTTAGTTCTTAAAACTGCACTGAGACACATTTTTTGAGTAAATGTCCACCTGTCACAATTTCACTATATTTCCGTTAAAATATGAGACAGAACTATTCTGATTTGTATAAAGCTTACCTGACAATAAAATGTAGCATTTTCCTCTGAATGTTGTAATCTGAACACCTCAATACTGTAGCTCACGTGAATCTTACCAGATACTTTTTCTGTTTAATTGAAATGGTCTACATACAGGATGTATAATCCTAGGAAACCTTTAGTTAGTGAGCATCACAGGTATGGATTAAAACTGAAAGGATAATTAGTTGACTCATACTCTTCAGGGAAGTCAACAAGACTTTTGTGGCTGATTTATGTAGCTCCTGATAATCACAAGTTTAGAAATCACAATCAACTGCTCCTACAGATATTTCCTCCTCTTTCTGAATCCACAAAATGCCTTCAATGACCATTCAATTTCGTGAGCTCCCTCTTCCTCTAAAGCAGGGGTGGGGAACTTTTTTCTGCCAAGGATATTTATAACATCATTCAAGGGCCATACAAAATTATCAACTTAAAAAGTAGCCTGCTATACTTGGTCAAACATTTAATTATGTTTGGGCTAGACCAAATGATTTCCCCACCTCACATTCCTCACCCCTGTTAAAGGAGTGGGGTGAGATAATTGCGAAAGATACAATTTACATTTTTTATGCTATAAAACTTGCTGCCCAGCTGTGATTATAAAAATCCAGGTAATCAATGATTCTCAGAATTTTTACTCTTTAACAGTATATTGCTATATTTTGTTTAATGTTCCACTCTGCATTTTTTTTTAGAAGAAAATTTCAACTTAAGAGAACATATTCAGGCACAAAAGTAAATATGCTTAAAAGCTAACCTTCCAACACTCAAATTCTGATCTTCTAAAGACACTTCTGAGTTGGGAGAAATCCTATATTAGTAACAAGGCACGATATAACTATGCAGTGCTCAGCATAAGGATATATATTTTAACAGTAAATCTTCACTTTTAAAATGATATTTTAACAATGCCTCAGTTATGCTTCAAATATGCCTACGTATGACATTATCAAGATTGTATATTTTCCATCACGTTTGATGTAAAAGCTGTAAATTTGTTAGATTTGCTAAATCCTTTCTAGAAACATTTTCAAAGTTTCCGAATTGCTGTAGTAAAAGAGAACTAAAATTTCTCATTAAGGAAAAGTATCTTTTGTGGGAAACCTAAATTTAAACCTTCCATTTAAAGTCCTAAACATTTTCCACGAAGGAAAACTAAGTGTACATCCAAGAGTTTCTAGAGCAATCAGCATAGGCAATGTCAAATTATCATGCCTCTATAGACAAACAGAGCACTGTACAGAGACCCTCACACTTGTGGCCCTGTGTATTCCCTGTGGGCAGTGCCAACCCACTCTCTCCCCCTTAATGACTCTTTGTTTCCACCAAGTCCCAAAAGGCTGGTGAGAGCTAAGCAGAGAGAAGGGGGGAAGGGGGGATGGAATGCAGCTGCAGGCTGTGAAACAATGCTGAGTCCATATATTTTGTTCCCAGTTAGAATAAAAAGTGGACAGCAGTTGGGGTGGAGGGGACAAGGAGACAGAACCCAGAAGCAGCAAGGTTGGGCCACATATCCCACAGCTGTCAATCTGCAACTTCCTCCTCTTCTGCTCCTCCACCTTCTACTCTGCAAAATTCCAATAACCATTCATTTGGGTTAAAAAGCTTATCTTCTAAAATGAAAATACCTATTAAAATGTAAACCTATCAGCCATTTATATCCAAATTACTTTTATCATGAACTCAGGTGAGGATGGAATAGGAGAGAGAATGGAGCTTGCATATGTAAACTGGGGAAGCTGAGATGAAAAGCTTGGAGGAAGTAGGTAGAATTCAGAAAAGGATGTCCAAGGTTTCAAATACAAACTGCCTGCTTTGCAATGATGCCTATAGCCCGAGGGCAACTGGTAGGGCACTATTTCCCACCAGAGCAGGAGACTACAGACCCCTCATTTTTACTGTTATTGTGTTAATTGTTGACTATCCTATATCCACCTATGTGTATGTCCATTCCTTTTACGTTTTATCCAAACCCAGAGATTTTCTTTGTTTTCTCTAGTCTCCCTAATCACCAGCAAATGTAGCCCATCTACATCAACCCTTTTGATTCTGATGTATACAATGAGTGCTAAAACTAGATGTACTTTCCCTCCTCTCAGGTGTGCATCTCCCAAACTCTAAGGGTACCCATGAGACTAACAATCAGGAGAGCAAAGGGCAGTGGCAGCTTGTCCTGGACTAACCCATTGAACCTGTCTCCAAGGCCCCCTTTCCTCTGACTTCCCAGTGAGCCAAGAAGCCCCATCTAGGCTCTTACCAGTTGCTTCTTCTATCCTAAACCCTTCACTTTTCCCAGGTTTAATAAATACACACTAAAAAAATCCAACAAAACAAACAAAAAAACCTGCCATTTTTCCCAAGCATTTTCTCAATCCATTGAGATTTTGCTTCCTGGCAATTGTCCTCATTTTGGCTCAAATACATAAAAACTCTTACAGGTTTGGGTGTTTCTTATGTCAACATAACCCTTTTCTGTTTCTGTGGAGCCCTCCAAGGTTCATGGACTCAGGCCTGCCTCTGGAACATCTCTTCAGATATAACTAATACTCTTTAACAGTATATTGCTGTTAAAAATTTCCAGAAAATCCAAGAACCCTTAAGTAAACAACTAAAAAAACGAAACAAAACAATACAACAAACAAAAAGACTCAAAACAACCAAGAATCAGCATGCGCTACCTTAAAAGCTATAAAACAAAATTAAAAAGAACCTTGTTCCAATTACAATCACTCGGTAACTTGGGAGGGGAAAAAAAAAAGGATGTTCTTCATAAGCTATCATGTAAAGCTCTGACATCTACACACAAACATCTCAAGTCAGCATTACACAAAATTTAAAAGTACTCCTACTTGGTGTTGAATGATATAATTAATCTCTTGACTCTTGAAATGTTTTCCAGTTATAAAGTTTAGAAAGATTGGATTTATTTACATTGAATTTTGCATTTTGTGACATGATAAAAAGTCATAAGTATATAGATTTCCATTAAGCAGAAATATAATCTCCACGCCGTCCCAACTTGCCTTTTCTCTACAGGCTAAACTCTTATTTACAGATATTCCCACTCTTCATACTATACTATACAGAGACAAACTCAGAAATGCATGTTAATTTAGACACAGGAATGACTGTGTCTATTTACTTAATATTAAATATTAATAGCAATAAATAATACTGATAGTACTGTAAAGTCTATCATCTGTTATAAACAGAAAATTTATAGGTGCATTTTATTAGTTATCATTTATTATGTTTTTAAATGTGCAATAAAAATAGAACCCTTTGTTTATTCTATGTACTGGAAAAAAATCAATTTTCTATTTATACATTTAATTTCCTAGTATGTATAATCAAAGAAATGAAATAGAATAGTTGTTAATAAAAATAATATCACATAATCAGAATTTTCCTAAAATTAATAACTCCTTATAAGTTAATTGTGTTAAACAAGACATTCTTATAATATTTTGTATATGTTACACTGCAGTAAAATGGTTAAAAAATGCAATTACCCATGACTTGCAAAAATCTACTGTCAATAAGTATATCTTAACTATTTTTTAACTAAAAAGAAGATAATTCAAGTGTCGGACATTTACAGTTAGTCACAAAGTTCATAAAATATGAATGACAGTATATTAAGAGGCACAGGTGAAAACAAATTTTAAGACTTAGGTAAAATAATGTATTAGGTAAAATAATAGATTTTCTTGCTAAATCAATGAGTACTCACCCCTTGGAGCCCTTGGAACTGAATTGAAGGTCGAAAAGGAATTAAGTTCTGTTAAAAGAAATAAAAAACAAACAGGTCAAACTTGATTACTGTGACAAGAATTAAATGTTTAAATTTTAAATCTGCATTTGGTCAGTGGTATAGTCTGTGAATTTTCATTATGTACATAGGTTTACACGTCATTTTATTAAGATGTCTTGATGAACAGAAGCATACTCTTGACATTTCTCTGAATAACACAACCAAAGGTATCTTTTGGTAGTATAGCTAATCAGGTTTTTTTAAATGACTGATACAATTTAGTAAAAATATGATTTGTATACAGATTCAATTTTACTAATACATAAAAAAAATCATACTCTGGCTTAGTTTCTTCATATTTTTAAAAATACATTTTTATTGATTTCAGAGAGGAAGAGAGAGGGAGAAAGAGATAGATACATCAATGATGAGAGAGAATCATTGATCGGCTGCCTCCTGCATGCTCCCTACTGGGGATCAAGCCCGAAACCCAGGGCATGTGCCCTTCACCAGAATAGAAACTGAAATATTTCAGTCTGCAGGTCAATGCTCTATCCATGCAGCCAAACTGGCTAGGGCTCTTCATATGTTTTTAAATTAGATAAAAATAGGAAATTGGAGGAACTTTGCAAAATCCTAATAGGACACTAGAAATATAAAATTAAAGAAATACTTAAAAATTAAAAGAAATAAAAAGTTTAAGTATTTGAGATTGAGTGATTGTTTCTATTTTCTCACATTTTACCAGAGATAAGTTTTTAATTAAGGGTCAAACAGGTTACCAATTTTCTCACAAGATGCTCACTAGAGAATATTAAATTTCTACAACAATATTTTGTTTTATAATGAATTCTCATAGCTTTAATATTTTAAGAAAAGCTGTAATTATAAATATCTACCACAGTCTCGGGCATGATGTCCTATATCTATAGTTACTGGAATTTTTTTCTATGGAAATGCTTGTCTAAATTGTTAACAGAAATTTACAAGGAAATCAGATATGGGTAACATTTAATAATAACATATCAAACTGTAAACTCCTCATATTCTTATGTCCAAATACAATACACAAAAACAGAAACAGTAGTTTCTGGTCTCATCTTGATCTCCAATAAAAATAGAGCCAGGTCCCCATATGCCCCTCCCTTCAGTCACTGAACATTACCTACTACTTTCAGTTACTTAGCAGAACTGCTCTGCAGATTTAAAAGTTTATTACTATTACAGAAGATGGGAGAAAAACCAAGCAATGCTTATAGAAAGGGGGGGTTACATTTTATTATAATTATGCACAGGCCTAGAAAAAAAAACGTGTCTTTCAAATACTGAGCCCTCCAGCAGGGAGGAAACTTTTTCTATTCAATACTTTTTCTAGCTCTTTGTCTCCCAAATTTGTAAAGAGACTTCCAGAAGGCCTGTGTGCTGGAAGGGGCCATGAGACTATATCTCAAGGCCTGTCCAGGACAACTCTGTATGGGGCATAGTTTATGGCCTCTCTAGAATGGGAGTATTGTTATTTTCCTTATTATTTAAGCAAGCAAACGTTTACAGAAGCCAAAATAGCAGGGTTAAAATATAGATTAAATATAAAAGCACATGGTAGCATTAACCATTCTATTATTATTTATATAAATAGATAAACATCTTGGAAAAAATTATTATAGATACTATTATCATTGTTTTACTACCCTAAAATGACCATTAAACTTCAGACTTATAAGCAGGCTCAAAGTACTACTTGTAAAAAAATCATTTTTTGGTGTGTGAGAAGTGGATTTTTTTTTAAAGGAAAGTTAAAGGTTAATGATTGAAATTGTAAAATAATTTTTAATAGTGATTCATTCTAAGTCGTGGTCTTTTATGAATACATAAATATAGATTAATGCTAGAATTTTCTTAGACAAAGAAAACTCTACCCAAACCTACCTTTCAGAGCTAAACTTCTTCCTGAACTAATAGGAATGAGGCTGCAGAAGCCTAAGGAAGCCTTTCTTCCGTAGAAGTTGCCCTACAATTTGGATAACACAGGTCTAGGCTCCAGTTTTCACAATATTTCCATCAGTCCTACCTCATGGCTCTCCTTTCAAATCACAAACATTGAACATCTCTGAATCTCGTTACACTTTCCCCCTTTACTCAATGACAGCAAAATTGACAAACACTAAACCATCCTGCTTCACCCCCCAAATTGGCATCTCTTTCCTACTTTCTTATCAAGGGTACTTCTATCGGTTTGGTTCTCCGGGATCACAACCTTAAATTTATAGTCTTCTCTCTCCTTATCCCCACCATAGTCTATCAGTCACTGCAGACCACTAGAATTATATAATTCTGAATCTAGGGATAATATAGTTAATGCTCACCCCCCTTAGGCAATGTGTCCCATTACTAACCTGGGACCAGAACTCAGGACTCAATCCTCCTATATTTTGTTGCTTTTCTTCTACTACCTTGTGTTCCACACTCATCTGCTATGGGAGATTCAAGGGTGTGGGGGCCTATTCCTTCATGCCGGACAGTTCACATTTTAGTTAGGGAATATTAGAGAATGATTAAATACTAGGCTAAGTACCAGGAGGTGTAGTAAGGACTCTCAAAAAGGAAGGGAGATTATGAGTTATAAGATACACTAGAAAAGCCAAAGATCTTGTGGAAAGGGTGGATCTTGGGTAGCGATTTAGAAAAGACTAACTCCAGGGAGAAGTGCTCTGCCTGAACAGAAAAGCGAGGAGACAGGAATGAGTACTATGTGGACAGAGGACAAGTGTGTCTCTGTGTAGAGTTATTTCATACTTGAAACACTACACAAAGGATAAGAACTGGACCTGGAAATCTCTGTCTAATCTTTCCTTGGGCTCAAAATTTGTCTTCAGTTTTGCTTCTATCCACTACAGAATAAATAGCACATACAGTAATTTAAATTTCAGACCTCTGGGATTTCAAAAGATTTATTAGCCTGTGAAATAATCCCACCCTAATTCTCTCCATGACCCTCTCAGGCAGGGTCTTAGACCTGATAACTAATTGGAGACTCATCTAACTTTTGGATCAAGAGAGAAAGTTGCTGAAAGAAGTGTTTCAGGGAAAATAGTTCCTTCAGTCACATATAAGAAAGTTGGAGATGGGACAGATTGGGGCCAGGATAAAGGATTAGCTCCAGGGGATACTTTAGACTAGTCAGTGATAAGGGCCTAAATTAGTATTACTTTATCTGGAGTAAGCTTTCTGATGGAAGAAAGATAAAAAGTGCTGCAAGATTGACTACCAGGCACCAAAGAAAAATGAAGTGAAGGTGGCTCCAAGGGCCCTAATCATCTCTGGCCAGTTAGCTCCAAACTTCCTCAAAATAAGCTCTTAGTCTCATCTTTGGAAGCCTCTATTTCAAGCCCCTATCACAAGAACCTAGATCAGGGGTGGTGAACCTTTTTTCTGTCAAGGGACATTTGGATATTTATAACATCATTCGAAGGCCATGCAAAATTACCTACTTAAAAATTAGCCCGCTGTATTTGGGCAAACATTTAATTAACTCACCTCTAATGCCTAGGTAGGTCCAGACCAAATGATTTCGAGGAATGGGACATTCCCTACCCCTGATCTAGATAAGGCTTCCTCCCTACCTTAAATTCCTTCCCAATGCTGCTCATCATTCAAATAGCTAGCAGAAGCTATCTCAGACACCACTCAGTACGTTTCACAGCCTACAATGGGTTCCATCAAAGCAAAGCAAACTTCTCCACATAGAAAACAGACCCGCTGCCATCTACAGAATCAACCAATTTCATGCTACACTTCCTCTAAACTATGGTTCAGCCATGCTAACCTTTTTGTTTGTTTGTTTGTTTTGTGGAGAGTTTCTTTTCTATTATTCTACCTTACTCCTGTTCCTTTAACCTGGCATACCTTCCCAAACACATTTTGCCAATCCATGTTAATCACTCACTTAACATTCTAGTTTAAGATTACTTTCCTCACCTAGGCCTTCCTTTGGATACATCAGGAATGGAAAACTGAATGTGTTTAATAACAAGGCAGTAAATGTGGACAGGATATAAAGCAATAAGGAGTAGTGAGCACCTGAAGAATAAACGCCCAACCTAGAGAGGATTCAAATTTTTAAAAATTAAATCTTTTTCAGGCTAAAAAAAACATTGCTGCCACCATTTTGCTAATTCTGACCTCTACCCACTTTGAATTAGCTCCTGTTAGCTGTTGTTTTTTCAGATGCCTGTGTCTATGATTCTACTACATGGGGGTGTATTTTTTCATAGATTGTCTTACTCCTAGATATAATGAAAGAGAGGAATTCTGCATTATGCTCAGCTAAAAAAAAATATTATAAAATTATTTGGCCATATTCTCTTTATATATGTGGTACACATGATATACTTGTATACCTTACAGATTACTATTCAGGATTGTATAGACAAAAAATTACAATTATGCTTTACATCAATTTAGAAACTTTAAGAGTAGTTTTTACTTTATCCAGTTGTTTGTTTGTTTGTTTTGCTTTATCACTGAATTTAGAACCTAACTTCCTGATATACTTATTGTTCTATTTGTATTGCTGATTCCTCAGCAAAAATGATAATTCTGTTTACATGGTTTTGTAATGCATAGAGCATTTTATACCCATTGTCTCAAATGAGCCCCCTAAAACCAAACCTGGGTGGTAAGAAGGTATCATCATTCCCCATTTCAGAGGAGGAGATAAATGAGTCTCCAGCAGGTAAAGTGTGTTGCTAAGGGTCATCAAACTAACGATTAGCAGAGCTGGACCTCAAATCCAGCCACCTTGAATTCCTTCCTTTTTGTTGCCTCTATAGCCAGTTATTTCATAGTGCTGAGTACTTAAAAGCCCATATGCTCATTCAGTTATTCTGGCATTTTGTTTCCAAAGAAAATAAATTTCATGAAACTGCTACAATTTCTAAAGTTCAGTTTCTTATTAAAAAAAGGGTTTTGGTCCTGTAAGATATGTACATATATAATACCTTAATAAAAAAAAAAAAAAAAAAAGAAAG